GGGGGGAACTAAATAGAATGAAACCAGGTAAATTCACTGAGTGTTCATGAGTGCTTGAGTACTTGTTCATGCATAATTCAGTGTGACTCTGTATTTGTGAAGAGGAGGCTGCGTCTAGCTTAGGAGCTCCAGGTATGTGACAGGCACTTTGCCTTTCTGGTTGCCTCGCTCTCCAATAAGCCAGTCCGGGTCCATGCCGGGCACCGTGTACACAGTAATAAGCTACAGAATAACAGAAAGAAACAGAGAGAAAGAAAAAAATGAAGTAGACATTTTGATGTGGGCTGATTGTGTTGCAATGGGCACAGTCTTCCAAAAGCATTCACTACATTCAGATATACTGTAACAGTTGACATGTATAAACAGTGGTTAACAGACATGTATTAACAAATACACATCTGCAGGCACCCCTCTGACATCTTTTGAGGATTGAGTTTTGTAGGCGTGTATTACAGAGGCAGGTCTGTGAGGCTGAATCATATGACATTGTCTGGCAGACTTGCATATGGGGACAATTGCGATGGTTTATAAACAAGTTTCAAACTTAAAACCTTTAGGTTACCAGCCCATTTCATTAAACAAAAGGCAATGTCACAGAGACTGTAAGTCAACTGTAGCTTAAACTAAAGAGAGAAGGATTAGAAAATAAAATATATATTATTTGTTTTTATAATAACTACATTACAAATACTTATAATAAAAACAATACTCTTTAATAAAATATATTTCAAATTAAATAGTTACACAGATTCCGTAGTTTACACTACGGGTAAACATTTCCCAAAAAGTAGTTCAGTAGTTAAGCTTAAGGGGGTTTAATATGCTTTTTCACTTTTTCAACTTTAGTTAGTCTGTAATGTTGCTGTTTGAACATAAAAAAGATCTGCAAAGTTATACAAAGCTCAAAGTCCACTTCAAAAGGAGATATTTTATTTAACAGAAATCACTTTTCAAAAACTACAACGAACGACTCGTTTGAACTACAACGCATATTTTCCGGGATTTATGATATCACAAAGATCGACGAATGGGACGAGACCTGGTTGAGCTGCACTAGAGAAGGCAACGAGTGTTATCACCAGGGTTTGAAATTAACTTTTTCACTCACCAGCCAATTCGGCTACTAAATTTTTTACCAGCCATTCATAATTTCTACTAGCCAAAAAAATTAAACAAATAAATTATGAAAAAAAGGCCGGAGGTAAGCCAACAGCTTGAGGCTGTCCACACTGGATGCGACAAAGTGACCATTGCAAATCATTTGTACTTTGTCAAACAGTAGGCCTACGTCATAAATAGAATGAGGCATCAGTTTACTGTCGGGGATTTGTTGTGCTGTGCTGCGCCACATCCAATGTAGGCCGCATCACAGATTATGGGTTCTATAGTATTTTGTCGCATCTGGTGTAGACACGGTGCGAGTCTTCAGGCATTTTTTGATGGTTATCACTATGCCAGAAACACGCTAGCTTTCCCAAGCCATTTTGACGCAATATTTACACTGTGTGTAACACGCCGAGTGCTGCCAATCACAACACACACTGGCCCAGCTAACCAATCACAGCACATTTCGTATTTCGGAAGGCGGGCCTTCATTTGATACAGGAACTATTCGAGCCGTTCATGCCAGACTGGGGAGAGAGGTGTTGTAATAATGTAAAATATGTGAAAAATAATGTGTTTTTCGAACAACCTAGTATGAGAGCCTGTTCTAGTACACCCCCAAAACAAAATCAAGACTTTGTTAAAGAGCATAATATGACCCCTTTAAATAAAATACATTCTCATTACAGTACATACTAAAATCCCTAATACTGATATAACGAATGTTACTGACTGTTAAAGAGGAAAAACAGACTTTCTCATGTCCTACCTCATCAGCGAGAAGGGAAAGTTCACTTGTATCTGCAGCATCATAGTCATACAGCACTTTGGCCTTGCGAGTGCCAGTGGCGGGAGGCTTCACCTCCTCAATCTTCAGCGTGCTGGACTCAAGGGCATTGGAGGGGTTTGGGGAACGACTAGGTGGAGAAGTCCCAGGTAGGGTGGCAGTGGAAAGGGGAGAAGGGTCTGCTGACACCCCTGACGTGGAGGCGTTCACAGCAAAAGCGTTAGGAAACCTGGAACAGATTCAAAACCATGGACACAGTGTGTCTGAATAAATATAATTATTTAGCTGTTGCTCACTCATGACACAGATATTACATGAAAAGTGAAAGAAGGAAAATTTCTCAGTCACATGAATGTAATTGCTTAAATTTAGTGGGCAAACTTTCTTCCTTTTTCAGTGTGATGGAAAAAGTTACTCACGTATCTCCGTTCGCACTATGAACAGGAAAGAAAAAGCAGAAAAAAAAACATCAGCTCAAAGTTGATCTTGTGATTTTCTTCACTAGAAAAGCAGTTGCCATAAAGGGGAATGTGTTAGGCAAACCCCTTGTTACTCACATCTCGTTTTGCCACATCTCTCTATATCAAAAATAGACTAAAGTTACTAAACTGTCATGCATTTCCTGTAGAACATGGTCTTATTTGACTGCAGTCGCTCTAGGACAGAAGAACAAATGGCTGTTTATGTTTATTTTGGAGTTTGCAGCACCTCACTGAAGTTCTCACCTGCTCAGCTCTTTCTGAAGATCCTGCATGTGCTTGTGACACTGTGTGTAATAAGCAGCCTGGGCCTCCACAAACTCATGCAGACAGCGCAAGTGGTTCACCTGCAATGGAATTGCAAAATTTGGTATACCTATGATGAAAATTACAGGCCTCTCTCATCTTTTTAAGTGGGAGAACTTGCACAATCGGTGGCTGACTAAATACTTTTTTGCCCCACTGTATAATAAGTAGTGTAACTTTTTCAATTACTTTATTAAAGTAATGTAACTGATTACACTTGATAACTTTTCTAAATTTCTAATGGTTTCACTGTTAGTCATTTTCAAACATTTAAACCAGGCACGGTTAACCTTACAGTAGTGCTCAACACCACAACCCCAATTCCAGAAAAGTTGGGAAGTTTTGTAAAATGCAATAAAATCAAGAATCTGCGATTTGTTCTTTCTCTTTAACTTTAATTTAATTTGCAAAAGACTTCCAAAGTTTTCACTTACCAACATAAACAAATTTTGATTTTGATGGCTGCAACACACTCCAAAAACGTTGTGACGGAGGCAAAACAAAAGTGAAAAGGTTATAGAGTATCCTAATTAAACTGTTTTGAAACGGTTTACAGTAAGCAGGTGAATTGGTAATTGGCGAGGGTGTCATGTTTGGGTATAAAAAGAGCATCTCAGTCTTGATCATGGCTCATCACTTTCATGTGCCAAATTTCATGAAAGAAGTGTCAAACAAATACATTTTTTTTTTTTTATTACATTTCTCAATGCAAAATCACAAAGAATTTAGGTATTTCACCAACTAGCATATATAATATTGTGAAAAGATTCAGGGAATCCAGAGAAATCTCAGTCTGTGTAGGGCAAGGCATGAAACCTCCAGTGAATGTGTGTTAGCCGTCATGCTTCGGTGTTAAATATAGCCACAGTACTTCTGTAAAACCGCTGTCACGTAACACAGTCTGCTGCTTTATCAATAAATGCAACTTCAATCTCTGTTCCTCTAGAAGAAGGATTACTATACACCAATTCTATGCAGTGATGCTGCAGCGTTCTCTGGGCCAGAGCTCATCTCAGATAGTCAAAAAGGCAGTGGAAATGTGTGCTGTGAAATGAGTCCACATTTCAACTGGTTTCTGAGAAAAATGGACGTCAAGTTCTCAGTCCCAAAGAGCAAAGGGACCATCCAGACTTTTTCCAGCGACAGATGCAAAAGCAAATGTCTGTCATGGTATGGGGCTGCAGCAGAGCAAACGGCATGGTGGAATATGTGCAAAGATACCATTGATATGTACAGAGACATATACTGCCATCAAGATGACATCTTTCACAGGAAGTCCATGGTTATTAGATCAAGACAATGCCAGGTCTCATTCTGCATGTGCTACAACCGCGTGGTTTCGTAGACACAGAGTGGATGTGCTAGACCGGCACACAGATCTGTCTCCTATTGAAAATGTCCAACCAGTCATGCAAAGGAGAATCAGACAGTGACGATCACAGACTGCTGAGCATCTGAAGTCTTGTATCAAGCGAGATTGGACGAAAAGTTTGCTTGCAAAACTTTAACAATTAGTATCATCAATTCCTAAACAATTAAGCTGTGTAATTAAAAGGAAAGTTGATGTGACACAGCGGTAAACACGCCTCTGTCCCAACTTTTTTTTTAAGTGTGTTGCAGCCATTTTTAATTTAAAATTAAATAAATGAGTATTTTGACATAACGCTATATATTTAACACTGCTTCATCAGTTCCTGGTTCTGTTGACACATGTTGACTCACCTAAGCCGCCTGCTGGTGCGTGCGTGCGCAAGTAACACCCGTCTACAACTATTCTCAGTAAATTAATTACGATGCTTCCTGCTGTGAAAAACGTTTTCATGTCTGGAAATTTCACAGTTATTTTGTTTTCAAGAGGATAAAGGAAATAACATAGTTGTACAGCGTAAGCTATGCAAGAAGACTCTTGCTTTAATAAAGGCTACTCAACCAACTTGAACATTTGCAGGTACGAGTCCGACTAGCATTGAAATCATCGTTAGCTAAAATTTAGTGTTAGTGTTAAAATTCAAGTGTAACTTGAAGTAATCAGATTACATTACTTTTATATTGTGGTAATTGGATTACGTTACTGAATACTTCTTTAATGAAGTAATTTGTAACGGAATACATTTTAAAAGTAACCCTCCCAACCCTGATTATAACAGAACTCTGTGACATTGCGATGTTCATCGCGGCGCCAAATAACCTTCCAATACGTCGGTAGTCATATTTTGCATTTGATGCAAGTGGACAATGGCCAGTAACATGCCGAGTGTATGAATTCATCATTTGTGCATATGTAACATGTAGCGAATATTCAGAATAATGAAAATTGCATGTAAACTGGAGTGAGGTTTGCTCGTGTCATGTAAACATCTCACAGCGATTAAGTCCTTGCTCTGATTATTGGAAATAATCACATTATTGGTGCACATGTAAACTTACTGACAGGCAGACACCAGAACTGTTTATAGTAGGCTAAATGAGCTGTTTGAGATCATAAAGGTCAGACAAATAATATACTTTCAATGTTTCTTCATGTAAAGTGCATGTCATTTGTAAATATTCTAAAATGTAACATTTATTATAACATTTATAATAAGGATGAAATGATGAAAGCAACATTTCTTGCTAACCAAGCACTATTTAGCAGAAAACACAAAGAAACAGCTGGGTTTTGTAGCATGCTGTAACAAAAACGTCTCTTTTGGCTAAAGGTAAATGTATTCACTCATAAATCATGACCATGTTGCCTTGATTTTTTTTTTTAAATAGCTTTCTTAACATTTCTTCAGAGCACATTTTTACTGCTTTATATTTCTATATGTCTGGACAGCCAGATATTATGATGTTCGATTCATATCCAACATTCTCAACATTGTAGTCATTGTAATGTGAGAAGAATTTAAGACTTGCTGAAATCTGTATTGTTTGTTAGAAATGTTAAGTCAGATTTTCTTCTTAAAGATTGACAGATGGAAATCAGTACAGATAGAAATACAAGCAGAGGGAGCAGAAAACTATCATTGTTCACATGAATTACATCTGTTATTATGCAAACATTTATTACGTAAAATATTACACATTGCCCCATTAGAACAAAGGAAACAAAGGCAGCAAAGGAAGAAGTGGATCTTGCCTGATACTCACTTTATCCACTTCCTCACTCCACAGCTGGAACATGCAGCATAACGACAAGAGAAGAACCATGAAGACAACATAACACAAACCCTCTCTTTACAAATACAGACCCAAATAAAAAACACTAACTACATTTCCCATGAAAATTTAAGGAAATTACATTAAAAAAAAAAAAAAAAAAAAAAAAAAAAAAAAAAACTGTTCCACTTCATGGGATCTTAAGATTGAAAGAGACATTCTAATGTAATCAGACACATGGGCAGCACAGGCTCCTGAACCCTCTATAATGTCAAGACTAGGGTTGGGTATCGACTGGGTTTTTTACGATACCGGTGCCAAATCGATACTTTTAAAACGGTACCGGTGCCTGAACCGATACTTTTTAAAAAAGAGCCACATAAAAAAAAATGATGGATAACATTAAAAATATAAAAAATAAATATACATAGCATTCACATGCTTCTTGGATGCTCTCATTTCCCGAGTTGTGCTTCCCTTACTCCAAGGCTAATAAACGTATTTCATGATCTGGGTCATTATTAAAGGGGTCATATGATGTTGCTAAAAAGAACATTATTTTGTGTATTTGGTGTAATGAAATGTGTTTATGTGGTTTAAAGTTAAAAAACACATTATTTTCCACATACTGTAGATTATTGTTTCTCCTCTATGCCCCGCCTTTCTGAAACGCGTCGATTTTTACAAAGCTCATCGTTCTGAAAAAGCCAGGTGTGCTCTGATTAAATATTACATTTTCAAATGAAAATAGCAAAATGATCGTTTTATAAAGTAAGCGTTCATATGTGTCAAGGTGGAGTTTTGGTTCCTTGCCGCTGTCGCCTCTGGCTTGCTTAGTTGGGGACACTTAATTTCCGGCGATATCGTTGACTTGATTGCAAAGATATTATTTAAACTGAGCTGGATGTTGACATCACTGAATTCAATGATGAACTGTCTTTAACTGAAAAATGAGTGTTTACTATTGTCACTTTGCATTATTGACACCATTTTCCTAATTAATGCTGTTCAGTTGCTTTGACACAATCTGTATTGTTAAAAGCGCTATATAAATAAAGGTGACTTGACTTGACTTGACTCAAGGTCTAGATTTCCGCTGGAGGAAACAGCTGTGGTGTAATGAGGTGTCAGCGAAAACTTTACAGTAGATGGGAAACCGATTGCTCTCTCGTGACCTTTTGTAAACTGTATTTATGACAAAGAACTGCACAGATACAGATATTATAACAATCTATCGATAAACACACACCTGGTGTGTCCTATGTTAGAGTCCGCTCGCGCTGTGCCGCCGCGTCTGATTGAACAGCGCGCTGAAAGACGGGAAGGAGACGAAAAGTCTGCCGCCGTTTTCGTATGAAATTTAAAGAGGACTGACTCTGAGGCGATCATGAATTTGTGTACAGTTTATGGAGCTAATCGCTATAGCCCCGCTAAAAATGGCCTAGGGACGGCCATGCGTCTTAAGTCCATTTCAGAGAACCAGGACAAATATTTCAATCGATCGCTCAGGCATCGTGGCACCGAAATGAGGCACCGAAGCCTGCATTCTGATTCGTTCTAGTACATACCGGTTACATACAGTGGGGCAAAAAAGTATTTATCCACTGTAGGTACCGTTGCCATATTGGCACCGGGTTTCGTACCCAACCCTAGTCAAGACCCTATTTAAATGTACAATGACACAACAACTACAATGAAAAATAAGTGATCACACACACATATTTTAAATAAAATGAAAGAATAAAAGCAAAGCTTTCCAACCCCTGCATTCCACTGCAAATGTTAATCGCAGAGGATATTCGTGTTTAGACTCGTGCAATAACATTTCAATATTATTTCAAACCAGTCAAAAATGTAGACAAGCTTAAAATTTGATTTTTCAGAATTGAACATTCCAGAATGTTGTGTAATAAAATAGCTGTGTCCAAACTTTTGAGCTTTACTGTATATAACATATCTATATGAACACATACAAACAACAAAACAGCATTATGTACTACTGGGACTAGTCAACTAAATACACATGTATTGCATCAGTTGTCGCCAAAACATTATTCAAACACCCAGGGAAAGGCACACAGGCACACAACACTGCAAGACGGGAGATGTAAGACATCTCACAACATTGACAGAGAGGAAAGCAGGACTAGAGTTAAATAATGGGTCAACAACACAGACAAATCTTGAAAGGAGATGCAACCGTCCATCACTGAGCTGTGCTAACAAGACACACACAATATATATCGCATGTCTATAAGTTCACTACTCTATGAGGGCTTCATATTAAGGCTTCACTTCAGATTCAAGTTCATACAACCTTTTCTCTGTCACTCAGAGATGAATCGCCAACTTCACTATCCCACTGCGTGGAATGAAAAAGTAAGAGAGTGGGACGATGGAAAAGTTTTAGTGAGGCCATTTTCTCACTATCACCTGCACATTTCAACCATCCGAGATTCCAGGTAATGGCAAAGGGTAGAGGATGATACCTGGTTCAAAAGCTCTTAGGGGTAATAATGGGGACTTGTTTATTAATTTTTGTTTATAATAATTGCTTTAGCTGATAATTTTTATCCACAATAAGCGTATACTGCTATACCACCCCCACAGAGAACGGACTGTAGGAGGACATTCTGCTAGTCTAAATTTACAAGGGTTGGTGCAAATATTGGTGGGGAAATATCGTATGTAGAAATAAAGGTCATGTAGAAAGAGATAGAGAGAAAAAGAGAGCATGTGTGGGGGAAGACTTCTAATGCTAAGGGTCTGCAGCCTTCTTACCGCAGATGCACTGGCCGACAGAACATAATTGCGTGGCCTAGTCTCCTGAAAGTCAGGCGCAGCCTACAGGTGGAGGGGGGGAAAACAGAGTTTTACAAAGAATCATGTGTCCACATGAACTAACCCAGCAAACACTATTTTCACATAAAAACAACAACAAAAACACTTGACAAACCAGCCTGTAACCTCTCCCACACACAAAAAACAGGCACATTAGGACGGTAGCAGTAGATTTTTTGCATCACTTCATTGCACTCCAAACCAAAATAAAAATAATTTGATAAAATTAAGTAAAATATAAAAATAAAATAAAATAACAAAAAGCATGATCATTTATTAAGATGTTGTTACTATTACTTTTCATTTCATTTTTCAGGTGTTTTTACTGATAATCTTGTTTTAGTGCGTAAAGGGTTAGTTCACCCAATAATGAAAATTATTTTATTCATTACTCACCCTTGTGTTTTTCCAAACCCGTAAGACCTTCGTTCATCTTCGGAACACAATTTAAGATATTTTTGATGAAATCTGAGGGCTCTCTGACCCTCCCATAGACAGCAAGGTAACTACCACGTTAAAGGTCCAGAAAAGTACCAAGATGATCGACAAAGTAGTCCGTGTGACATCAGTGGTTCAACTGTAAAGTTACGAAGCTACGGGTATACTTTTTTGCGTAAAGAAAACAAAAATAATGATTTTATTCCACATTTTCGGCTCTACTGCGTCACTTTGGATGCACGTTCACGACAGTACCATGACGTGAGCGTGTGGCTCCGCCACCGCTGACCCAGATCCGGCGTGATCTGGGTCAGCGGTGGCACCGCCACACGGAGTGTGGCATTCCCAAATGGAACACTTCATGTGCACTTTCGGTCTTGCGAACTTACAATGACCTCCGCGTGCGTGTGTCCGTTAAGTCCACAAGACCGTAGGGTGTCCCATTCATCATTTTAGCGTTCAAAAGTGTGCTCGCGAGCGCCCCCTTTGCGGCCGCTATGTGCCCTCGAGGCGCACTTCTGCGGAGCCCGCACTGGGGCAAGCTCCACAGCAGACTTCTACCCGACAGTAAAAGCGGCATTACGTCACGAAAGTGCGGACTCAGAGGAAAACCGCGAGGGTTTAGAGTGCGATTTGGGACAGGGCCTTATGGGTTTCGAACAACATAAGGGTGAGTAATTAATGACAGAATTTTTATTTTTGGGTGAACTAACCCTTTAAGGGTTAAAGTAAGGTACACATTACTTACCATAAAAAGTCACAAATTAATTGTAATTTGTCACTGTTTTGCAGGAGTTTTATAAACAGTAATGTTTTATCTTAGTACAGTTGTACTGTATGTTTTTTTTCTTTGTACCCTTTGCACTGCTGTGTATCGTGAAGAGCACAATGCTCTGGTCTCTATGTGGCCTACTTTTGTAAATATTAAATGCTGTTGAAATTAGCCAAAGTGGACCAGATTCTTATACAATAGATAACAGAGATACATAAAATTAGTCAGTAATAGTATATATACACATACATACAATCAAATATATATATATATATATATATATATGTATGTGTGTGTATATACATATATTATGCACACTAAAAACATACACACTATTTATTTCAATTAAGCTTTTTTATCTTTGACTTAAAATAGCTTAGCTTCTTTTTTTCCATTTTTATCATTTGAATTTCACAAAACCCCTCCACTTTCATCATGGGTTTGTGGACATCCAGTTGGGAAACCCTGCTCTATAATATACAGTACATTAAAAAGAATTACAAATTACATGCAGCCATTTAATGTGACTGTGATTTCAAGAAGGACTGACTTTTGAAAGAATTTCAAGAATTTTTTTTTATCAAGGCACTGCAGAGGTGGAAGATACAGTTGGTCAACTATCAAGCCTGTACAAGGAACTGCTTGCAGGAAGCAGCAAAGGATGAAAGGCAGTAAATCACACACACACATGGATACTCACATCTCCCTCACACTGCGCAAATGACAACAGAGAAACGCATTAGTGAATACATGGAAATGGAAAAGATCAGACACAGAGCACATATGATGACGGAGTGATAATTGTGTTTCCTTGAACACACACACACACACAGACAAATAAACATCCAGGTTCCTCTTGGAGATTAGAACAGAGGTAACAATAGTCTGGGTATGCCCTCCTGACCTTAGATTAACCCTGTAATACTTGATAAGTGTCAGGAGGGAAATCACACCTAATTAGTGAATTAGCAAACAATATCAACTATGCAGGAAAAGAAGAAATGAAAACATGATAAAACAGCATGTGACTCAGCCCTCTGCGTAAACTACAAATTCTTCAATCACTGAAAGGCATAAAATGAAGAAGCAAACATCTAAGTGAAAAGAGAAGTCATGAGCAGGGTCATTTGCATCATCAGGATGTTTGCTTATGCCCCCTGACTCAGAGCTTCCCAGACAGAACCCCAGGTCTGCTTCATGAATATCTTAACTTAACTAACGTTAAGTCAGTGAGACCTAAATAAAGTGTTACAGATAACTGATTGGCTTTACCCAATAACAGTGATATCTAACATGAACCTCATATTTTGTCACCTCATGCATCAAAACAGTACGAGTTTGTCCATTTGTTTTTTGTTTTTTTTCAATCTTTTTTCATTGTCCAGAATGAGTTGGTCAAGGTGAATTTAAACGTAAATTTTATTTACACACCAATGAAGCATTCAGAAATACTTTGTTAAATGCTTATTAGGAAGCAGTTTATTTTGTGGTTAAAGTGCCCCTATGCCATTTCCAATATTGCCTTTCATGCAGTATGCAATGTAGCTGTATGTGAATGTAAAAGATTTGCAAAGTTGTAAAGCCAAAGTGCATGATAAATATAGTTATTGTCTCCCAAAATAAAGAATCGACTATGAACAGCCTAAACTAATCATCAGGAACTCGAATCCCACTTCCATGACGGCTACACGTCACAGGGTAATACATTTGCATAATGTATGTTCTACGTTGGCCGGCTGCGAACAACTTGACCCCGCCGACAAACACTGTAGCTTGTTCATGTCAAGAAGACGCTGTGTCCTATACTGTGATAGTAAATTAGTTTAATTTTCATTTCCGAAAGATGAGGCTGCAAAGAATCAGTGGTTAAATATGTTCCACTGTACCACAGCAGTACAACCCCAATCTTTTTTTTTTGTGTGTTCCCTTCATTTTACCGATGACTGCTTCTCTAATCTTACCGAGTTCAACGCGGTATTCACAAAATGCTTGCTCTTGGCTCAGTACCCAGTTTATTTGGACCAGCTGGCTCCACTGAATCACAGCCTGTTTAAGTATGATAAATAATAGATGTTTATATTCTCTGTCGAGCGTTCAAAATATGGAACTATGGCACAGGTGTAGGGCTGCATGATAAATCGCATGCGATATTTAATGCGCATCTTGCCAGTAAAGCCGGTTCTGTAATCAGCGGTAAATCTCCATCACGTGCGGGCTTTCACATGGAGCAGCATTTACTACACAGAGCCGTTGTTCACTGATAAGCTGCGCAAAACTACGATCATATTTTGCACAGCTTGTCAGTGAACAACGGCTCGGTGTAGTAAATGCTGCTCCATGACACGCTCTGTATGCGGTAGACCAATCACAACAGACTGGGCCATCTGACCAATCAGAGCAGAGTAGGCTCACGGAAAGAAGGGTCTTAGAGAGACTGAATCTTAGAACTGCTTCGAACGAATCGTCTGAGAAATCATTGAAAAATATAAAATGCATATTTTGAGAAAACGAAAGCATTTTTTGACCTTGCATGCATGTAAATCTATTGTAGGAGACTCCCTAAACAATATTAGGAACCTTAAAAATGGCATAATAGGGGCACTTTAACTGTCTGTTTTCATGCTTTCAGTGTTTGATTTGCCACATCACATTGTTTGTTTGCACACTGCAAGAGACATAGTAACATAATTGTGATTGTGAGTCAATTATAAGCTTGTGGCTGTGGGATAGACATTAAGTATCCTTGCTTTAGGTCATACTTCCTGAAATGTCCCTCTAGAGCAGGGCTGTCCAAACTCGGTCCTGGAGGGCCGGTGTCCTGCAGAGTTTAGCTCCAACTTGCCTCAACACACCTGACTGGAAGTTTCTATGCCTAGTAAGAGCTTGATTAGCTGGTTCAGGTGTGTTTAATTAGGGTTGGAGCTAAACTCTGCAGGACACCGGCCCTCCAGGACCGAGTTTGGACACCCCTGCTCTAGAGATCTGAATCCTGCTTAATAGCTTATAAGTGGTTCTTGATGAGAGGGTAGTGGAGGAGATGAAAGAACATGAGGGGAGGAAGACATGTGAAAATGATGATGAAGAAATAAGAGAAAATAAAACTTACAGCAGCCTTGGCCTCTGCTAACTTTGCTTTCTTGAGCCGAGCTTTGCAAACATCCAGGTCAAGACGCCGGTTCTCAAGTAGCTTTCTCTCTTTCTGATAACAGAACAAACAGACTTTTGTGAGAGAGGAAGTGTGCTTAATTGTACTTGAATGTGCACTTGTAGTGTACTTCACATATTAAAAGTACATTTTTAAAAAGATAATATAATATTAATGAAATAAAAGGCCACTTAAGCCTGTCAAGAGAATACACTTTCATGATGATGTTTCTTAACACTCTTAAGTACAAAAGTACATTTTAAATCAAATAATCTTTTGTTGTGCTTTAAAGAAGTACACTTATTTTGACATGTTAACATCCTTAAGCATTTGTTAAGTATTTGGTTGTAATTTTAAATGTAGTATTTATATATAACTTCATCAATACAAATGTTTAATTACAAATATATTAAAATACATGACATACAAGCTCCAATAGAAATTACATTAAAGTATATTTTAGATACCATAAAGGCTTGTCAGTACATTCGGCAGTACACTTTAACCATATTCCAAAACACAATCAAAGCCAAAAAAAACCCTCCAAGGTTCAGCTAAATGCATTTAAGACAAATGTATACGATTTAAATGTAAAACCACTTGTAATTTGAATGTGCGAAACCTCCATTGTCATCCACTTTCAAAAAAGGTGAATAATACGTGCAGGAGTCAATCATTTTGTAGCTAGCAGATTTTAACAGCCATTGTATATTGGTTTACATATCAGATGGAGATGAACCATCTGAGACAGAGATTGTACATTTCACTCACGGAAATGGTTTTCCAGTCACCCTCTAGAAAGTTCCTCAGAGGTGTGAGGAAGTTGATGGCTGACGTCTGTAGGAATTCCCGCTCTGCTCCACCCAATCTCCTCTGATACTCTCCAACAGTGATCAAAGTACTACCTAACAACACAGGCAAAACATTCCCAAAACACTACATTACGTACAACTCAGCATTGCAATGACATTTTCAATATTTTCCTGTCAAATCATTTTCAAACCTGTTTAACTAACCAAGAACATCTTGTGAATTACTGACTGCTTCAAATAATTTGGTTTGCACACTTTTAACTCATTCAGATGGAAGTGGAACATTAAGATGATCAGATTATAGACAAAACAGTCTTTGAGTCATCTCAACTAGTTACTGATGTAGGTATCTTCATCAATCAGAGACCTAAACTCACAGAATGAAACACTCGGTCTCACATTTTCCTGTCAAATCATTTTCAAACCTGTTTAACTAACCAAGAACATCTTGTGAATTACTGACTGCTTCAAATAATTTGGTTTGCACACTTTTAACTCATTCAGATGGAAGTGGAACATTAAGATGATCAGATTATAGACAAAACAGTCTTTGAGTCATCTCAACTAGTTACTGATGTAGGTATCTTCATCAATCAGAGACCTAAACTCACAGAATGAAACACTCGGTCTCACATAAAGCATGTTTAGACAGATGCTCTGATGCTGCTTTGATTCTCTGTAAATGAAATATACAATCATAATCTCGTATTTACCTTGGTAGTGGTCGTGATGTTTTTTTGGGGGGGTTTTGGAATGTTGACATATCGAAGACGAGTATGATTTTCATAAATCTTTTTCAACCAGCATTGTTATAATTATAATATATAAAGTTCTAATATAAAATAATAACTGAGAGGGAAAAAAACACAGGATATAATACACTTTCCCTCTGTAAATTCTAACCTATAAGCATCCATGAAGACCCACTTGCCAACAAACCTGTTTAGAAAGAGGAAGTGCGCCATCTAGTGACATACACCATGCAGCTAAACATTAACTTGATTTAGAGACCTCCATTACTATAGCACTGCAAATCATAGCATAGTATACAACATAATAATACTGGTCAAAAATAATACAAAGGGAATGCTTCATTTTTCATTTGTCATGTCAGAAGCCAAACAGTGGAAAAACAGGAAAAAGGGAGAATGGGTAGCGGCAATCCGGTCTCATATGGTGTATTAAGTCAATAAATAAACAATAAAAAAAAGATGAGAATCTGTTTATAGAATTTGTGAATTTAGTAAATTGATATGCACTGGCTTCTAGTAGGTAAGCATACTTTTTGATTATGAGCAAACTGCTTATTATTATTTCTTAGTTAGGATATATGTAGCCATTTTATCTTAACAAAATAACTTTTTCCCTTTTCTGTGTGCTTTCCAATTAAAAAAATACAATAATAATAATCATTTAAAAAAAGCTGCATTATATTAATTTTGTTCTTGTTGGTTGTACGAACCATATGGAGTTCCTGGCCCAAATTCCTTTGCAGCATCCTGCATATACTGTCCCAGCAGCTCTGCATTGGTGGTTCTGGATGGGATCTTTCTGTCCAGTTTCTCATAGAAGAACTCTTCAATACGGGCACCTAAACAAAGATTCACATCAGTAAGAAAGACATCAAGCTTTATTCAAGGTTTACTCCAATAAACTTAATCAAGTACACCATTTTGCACCATCATGTTTACCAATCCAGTCCATCAACCATTTACAAATGTTCAGAATACTTTTATTGTAATATTTGGAACATTGTTTCGAGAGACCATAAAGCAAAAAAAAAGAAAGAAAAAAAAGACAGGTCTTTGATGTAGACATCACAGATGAAAACATAAAACCCATGTGGGGTTGTAATGGCAAAATGTGATATAATAACGGTCTTTGACAAATCATTCCAGCTATGAACACAATGCCCTGTGTTGATTTGAAGAGGCCTCACAGATTTGATAACCAGATCTGGTTAAGATAATCAGATGACTGGAGAACAGGTGTTTAAACTTGTGTCTGGCTACAACCACAGGACAAACAAACTCATCCGCAAAAGGATAGTACTACTATAACAAAAACAGTGAGAAGAGCGAGCGCCACAACTGGGTCGAATACTAAACATCAGTCATTAAACTGAAAACCCAAAGCACAGGCCATGGGGAGTAGAGACACACTTACCAGTTTGGTCAACTGGAGCATGGAGAGAGTTAGAAAGAACAGGTTAGGACACAATCACTAGGCCATAAGTACCTCTTGCACTTACATCAAATGCTTAAATACGTACATGAAAGGTACTGCCATCAAAGATGAGCTCTAAAGCATCTGAAACCTGTGGCCTCATCAATGATTCAGAAATTATAACTGAACGAGTATTAATACAAAATGTTTCATGTTGTTTATTCAGTTGTGAAATGCCAACATAAATTGCAAATGCAGATTTTTGACTCATGTCAAAAAAATTTTAGACATACACTACCGTTCAAACATTTGGAGTTAGTATGATTTTTTAATGTTTTGAAAGAAGTCTCTTATGCTTACCAAGGCTGGATTTATTTGATTAAAAATACAGTAAATCTGTAATATTTCCTGTAATGGCAAAGCTGAATTATCAGCAGCCATTATTCTAGTCTTTAGTGTCACATGATTCTTCAGAAATTATTCTGATATAATTATTAGAATTTAATTAATATAAATTATATATCCTGCTCAAGAGCACAGTAACGATTAATAGCTCAGATTTGAACTGTTATGCCAGTTTACTGTACATCTCAGCACCCTTGTAAAACATTTGTTGACTCTTATAATTAGTGAAACTACCATAGCAATAAGAAGAGAGAAAATAAAAATCAAGGGTGCAAAGACAATACAATCCATTCACATAATGTGATACCTGACATAGTGACACTTGAGCACTACTGCTGTTTTAAGATGGTTGTTAGGCATCATATTTCCCTGGCTGCCTGTACAATAAAGCAGACTGATATCAACAAACAGTCAAGCGATGTTCCTGTTCATCACGTTAATGGTAAATGTCAACAACATGAGACATTTTTTCAACATACAGGACCTCTGTTTGGGCTCAACATTTAGGAGACAAGACCACACATTTCAAACGATATCTAATAACAACAGACCATTTTAAACGTATAATGTCCATGTAGACTCTTACTTGGGTTGGGTTGAAGCAGCACCTCGGTCTGTCTGAAGATCTTTTCAGTCCAGTTTTTGGTGCAGTCCGCTCGAGCAATCAGGTTCTCCAAGTGGCCATCTAGCTCAGTCTTTTCTGCCTGGCCAAGCTTCTCCTCTGTGTACTGGAGATCATAAAAAACAATTCAGTCTGTCTGCTAAACAAGATTTAACCGTTAATGAATGAGCAGTAATCTTGTACTCTTGAAAGACTCAACATTTTCAGCAAGACACGGAGACATACTCTTAAAGCGATTCACATGATTTGCTGGCATTATGCTATTCCCTCTTAGGCTGTATTTATGTTTAGACAATGTTTCACAGTTCACATCAAGCAGCAAATAATGCTATAAATCAGACACATCAATTTTGAGTGCAACAAAAATATAAAGTCATTTTCTAAAAAAAGACAATGACAGGACATGGCAGATTTGAATCCAAAAATCTGATGGGATTAAAAGCATGGGTATAGTTATAACTGACATGTGCCCTGCAGTGACACACATTATGTTTAACCTAAAACCATTATATGATAGATATTTAGATTTAATTTTAAATCATTGTTTGTTAAACGATTACATTATTCATTATAAAACCTGTGTGAAATATTATAATGTAATAAAAGGCAATATAATAAAATACAAGTCAATTTGCTACAGGAGACATACTCTTAAAGCGATTCACATGATTTGCTGGCATTATGCTATTCCCTCTTAGGCTGTATTTATGTTTAGACAATGTTTCACAGTTCACATCAAGCAGCAAATAATGCTATAAATCAGACATCAATTTTGAGTGCAACAAAAATATAAAGTCATTTTCTAAAAAAAGACAATGACAGGACATGGCAGATTTGAATCCAAAAATCTGATGGGATTAAAAGCATGGGTATAGTTATAACTGACATGTGCCCTGCAGTGACACACATTATGTTTAACCTAAAACCATTATATGATAGATATTTAGATTTAATTTTAAATCATTGTTTGTTAAACGATTACATTATTCATTATAAAACCTGTGTGAAATATTATAATGTAATAAAAGGCAATATAATAAAATACAAGTCAATTTGCTACACCACTATTAAATATGGTGATTTTAATAATAATTATACACTATACTGTTCAAAGTTGTGGAGTCAGTAAAAACTTTTTTTCGTTAAGAAATCATACTTTTATTCAGCAAGGATATTTATTCTGCATTAAATGGATCAGATGTGACAATAAAGCCTGTAAAGTTGTTACAAAAGATTGTTTTGTACATTTTAACTTTCTATTCATCAAAGACTTCTGAAAAAAATTAATGCATCATTCATGGTTTCCCAAAAAATATTAAGCAGCAAAACAGTTATCAACATTGATAATAAGAAGAAATGTTTATTTCATTTTATAATGATTTCTGAAGGATCATGTGACATGGAAAACTACAGTAATGGCTGCTGAAAATTCAGCTTTGACACACATTTTAAAATATATTTCTCAATATGATTGATTAACATTTATAACCAAACACATGCAGCCTTTGCCAGCACAAGAGACTAAAAACATTTTTTTTTTAAATGCTTAATTTTTTAACCTGCTTAATCAGACTGGAGAAGGCAAACAGACTTGTTGTGTCTTTTCAGTTAAAGAAACTGGAATTAAATGAAAGAGGATCAGACAGGCGTACGGCACTGGCTTGTTTGTGCCTTTGCGGTCGGTATTCACTTGATATCCAAACATGCAGGCTAAAATGTCAGCCGTTGCTAAAGATCAGTAACTAACAGCTGAACAAGGGCCCTGTGACTCTCATTGATAAACAGGAAGCTTCTGGCAGGCTGGTGGACCTGCAGCAAAGATTTCCTCTGACAAGGTGAAAAAAATATGGCGCTGGTGTTTAATATTTCACTCACACACAGGAAAGACCCCTGCTGACAGCACATACAATTCAGGGAAAAAGACATAAATCACATTCACACACTATGACTCAGCATGAAGGATTCCCTCTACATCTGCAGCTTTGAATGTGTCATCCGTGAGCCAAGAATATACAGGTGGTCATAACACAGCTATCCTCACACTGACAGAGGTGTCTGCACAGTATCTTATGATATCCAGGGATGTGGCATGAATATGAATATGACAAATAATGCCTTGAAAATATACTGCATGTCACACTGTGTAAATAATACTGTAGTATACATACTGAGTATATAGAATGCACTAAAGAAAAATAACTACACAAAAAAACAGTATTTCAATGCCATTTATGTATTTTGAACAAATATTATTTTTGAATTTTTAAATGCCAAACCTGATGTTGTACTTTATAAGGATTTTCACTTTAGAACCCCTACGTTTCTTGATTCAATTGTATTAATTCTGACTACATGCAATGTTTTGGATCATCGCAAGGTTTCTGTTAACAGTTAATTATCAATAAAATTAAACTGTTGGATTTTTATTCTTTCTTTTTTTTAATTATATAAAAATGTTTATCCTTCAGAAATAATCTTCCTTTTTTACATTTTATAGAAAATATCATCTGTCACAACTTACAGTTTCAAGGATTAGCCTAGATAATCAATTACAAATATTGTAATTAATAGAAAAGAAACTTTATGCTTAAATGAACAGCATAAGCATAAGCATAAGCATAAGCATAGTCATACGGGTTCAAAAAAACATGGGTGAGATGATGACAATATTTTCATGTTGAGGTGATCTGTCCCTTTCAATGATGATCAACCTGTTTACTGTCCAATGTCTTTGTTATACAGTAGGCCAGGGTTCACCCCCCCCCCCCGCGCCGCATCAACTTACTTTCTCTGACTTTGTTTCTGAGCCTGTTTCTGAGATAACAACATGCCAATCCGTGGTTGGATTTCAGACACGGTTAACCGTAAATCATCTTACACTGTCAATAAACGTGACCAGGGTTGCCAGGTTTTCACAACAAAACCCGCCTAATTGCTACTCAAAACTAGCCCAAAACTACAAAACGCGGCAAGTGTTAAAGTAGCCCAATTCCGCGAGAAAACCGCGGACTTGGCAACACTGAGCGTGACTGATCCTCGAGCCAACTCTGCTCTAACTGTCGACTAGCAGTGGGAGTCAGATGGCTAAAGATTTGTTAACTCATATTCATAAATCCTCAAGGGAACGTCTCTGAATTAACTGACGCTCGCGCCCCCCAGGTTGAAAACCCCTGCAGTAGGCTATACAACTGAGTATATTTTTATACTCCGTTATATTTCAATAGACTGAGCATTTTTTGACAAACGATAACATGCGCATCCCTAAACAAGCATTAAAAAAAAAAAATAATTAACTGTTCTGTAGTAAACAGGGCTTCGCCTGTGAGTGAGAATTCAGCTGGTGACTGTCACATGAACAGTCATTAATAATGGACACGGGCTGGGCTTGCGTCTATCGGCTTACAATAGCGAGGAAAATACAGATCATCGCAACATGACAAATAAGGATTGTTCGCTTGAACAATGACAGATACATTAAGATTTAGGCTACAGAAAGCGACGTTTCTGAGTGTTCGCGTAAGGATGTGTAAAGGCTGATTTAGGCCAACAGAACGAAGCGGTTCATTCATTGACTCGAGCCCGCTGCTGCTGCTGCGTACATCCATCCCACTCAATTCACGCACGTCCCTGATGGCTGAACGCAACTACCGTAAAGTAACCAGAAAGCACTGGGCCATTTCCTACCTGAACAGCACGAGTGAAGAAGACACCTGCATCCGACGCTAGTTTCTTGACATTAAAATCCATCGTGTCAGCGTTTTCACTGTGTGCGTTTCAGCAACATCAGTTTGTTGGTTGTCCCTGCAACGGGATCGATTGTGCAGGACGAGGCTGAATCGACAGCGCAACCTGGAGTTTAATGAGCTTACCATCCGTTACATCAGCCATCCTCTACTCAGCCTAGTTTAGAGCTGAATGCTCATTTTAAACCTCTCTGTTATTGTGAACACATTGTTTTGGGGAATTGTAACAATTTTTTTTTATAAAGTACTTTTAATGAAAAATAACAATTTATAAAAGTATCCTCTGTGGTCTGTACAGGTAAACGGACCCATATTTTAAAACCCTTTCAGGATGTTAGCTTTCAGTAGTTGTTTCTTTTTTTATATACCAACTCATTCATACTGTTCTGGTTCGAAAGGCCTCCTGGTGGTTTCTTTTCACACAAATTATTTCTTGAATATTCAATTATATATATATAGACTTTGGGAGGGTTTAAATTATATGTCATTATACACTAATTAGGCTAAACCATAAAATTATTAAAAAGATTTTCAAAGATTTGTATTTCCTTATACTAACCCTGCAACCTATAGCTTTAAACTGCTCATTTTATGGCTTTCCATAAAATAAAAATTACAGCATGATAAGATAAATGCAAAAATGTCCCTTACTTGCCTCCATTATTTTCATACATTTTAATATTTTTCATTTTATTTAAAATGTGCTCAAAAAATTCCAACTCCAGCAATACATTGATAAATTACAAATAGCACAATACAAAAGCAGTTTGAGGCCTGAAAATGATTTAGCATTAAAGAAGAAAAGATGCGGGTAGACTATTAAATATTATTTTTATTATACTGCATAAATACTTCTGAAAACATTTGAATGCCCACTTATGTAGCTTCACATTCGAGTTTCTGAACGTGGCAGACAGCAGGAAGGAAGGGACCCTGCTTTTGTTGAAAAGTTGTAAGTCTCAAAAGCCTAATCAAATGGTAGCAATGTTCTTTTCAATAAATGTGATGTATGTAACCAGCATTACATAATTCATTTTTCATTTAAAAGCATGCTTAAAACAAAAGTTACACTCTCCTTTGCTCTTACATGTTTTCATAATAGGTTTTATCCCTATTCACAGTCACTGCACTGTTACTTATGTAACAATTTTAAATTAATACAACTTTTAACTTTGGCATTTTTCATGAACTACAGTGTTCCAACAAGTACTTGCATTAGCATCGTCTTTATTTAAACGAACAGCTATAAAAAATTTGCTCTCAAATGTACATTCAGATCCTTTCCACTGTGTTAACATATTGAGGTATGTATGAGTCAGATGTGTACACAGTGTGTCCATCCGTCATACAAGCACTCTTATTTTATTTGGTGTGGTCCTGAACCCACTGGCACAACCTGTGACAGTAAGCTGGAGGACTAACTGTGGAGAATGTTTGTCGTGGGTGTCTCAGACTTTTCCACAGGTGCTCAAGCCTCTTTTTGAAACCATAAACAGTGAAGATGTCAATTATCCCGACGAAGTAACGCTGCTCTGGTCCATCAATGACATGAAGCGGGTTCTTGAAGTTGGGAAGTAGTCTCCGGTTCTGGGCCTGGAATATTTGTAGATCGGCTGACTCTGCTCCCAACATACTGGGTTGTTCAATTTTGTCTTCCTCAAGACTTGCAATGTCCGTTCCATCATTGCCTCTGTGCATTTCTGTTATGTGACACTGTGTTGAATGTAATTCTGAGGAGAGGGGTGTGGAGTCTTCCTCTGCCACCACCCCGGGAACAGTTGGCGAAGTGGCATGTGTAGGACTGGATGTTGCATTTACTGACCTAACAGCCAGTCAGAGAGGAACACAGAACAGAACAAAGAACCTTAACCAACTGAATGATTACCATCTAATGAAAATGTGTGGCTGTTGCTTGTTTCTGGGTTGAAGCTCTGTTTTTCTGCAGCAGATTGTTTCACCTGAACCTTCCATGCTGTTAAAGGTATAGTTCACCCAAAAATTAAACATCTTACATCATTTACTCACCCTCATGTCCTTCCAAATCCATATGACTTTCTTTTTGTGGAACATGTTTTGCAGAATGTTCATGCTGCTCTTCTCCACACAATAAAAGTGAATGGTGACCAAAGACTGTAGCCCATACTGAAGTCATTTGTTAACTTTGTTTGAGGAACAGACTGAAATTTAAGTTGTGTTATGTTATGTTATGTTCACTAAAAAGCTTGACAGTTATTATTCCCTTTCACTGTATGGAAAAGAGCAGCTTGGACATTGTGCTACATGTCCTTTTGTGTTCTACGGAATAGACAAAGTCATACAGGTTTCAAAAGACTGAGACTGAGTAAATGGAAAAAGACTGCCATCTTTTTTTTTGGTGAACCATGAGGTTAAATAATGGATAAATGCCGTATATGAGATGATGTTCAGTGAATAATGGAATGGTAGTAGCAAGGACTCGCATAGTTATTTATTATAGTTTAGTAATTTATTTTTTGTTATTTCTTTGAGCTGTTACTTTGAAAATGATATTGAAGCTAGATATGATAGCTACATGCCTGCCTGCCAATGGCCATTTGGAGTAGAAAGAGAAGGATCTGGAAACAGAGGTGAACATGAACATTCACAATCAGGGTAAAGCCTGTTATCCTTAAATACTGAACTAAACTAGAGATAAAGAGGAAGCAGAAAGAAACGTCTTGAAGAAAAAATTGACTAGAGATAAAGAGGAAGCAGAAAGAAACGTCTTGAAGAAAAAATTGTCTCTGAACCATGAGAACAATGAAAGCATGAGCAAACATCAGTATTCTGCATTTAAAGGGGTCATATGATGCGATTTCAATTTCCTTCCTCTTTGGAGTGTTACAAGCTCTTGGTGCATAAAGAAGATCTGTAAAGTTGCAAAGACTAAAGTCTCAAATCCAAAGAGATATTCTTTATAAAAGTTAAGAGTCAACCACTCCTACCTAAAACAGCTCACACCTTGGCTGTCTGTGGTCATTTTTTGACAGAGAACAGTAGTGTTCCTTTTTTTGTTTAAAGGGGTCCTATTATGCTTTTTCACTTTTTCAACTTTAGTTAGTCTGTAATGTTGCTGTTTGAACAAAAAAAGATCTGCAAAGTTATACAAAGCTCAAAGTCCACTTCAAAAGGAGATATTTTATTTAACAGAAATCACTTTTTAAAAACTACCTGTTCTAGTACACCCCCAAAACAAAATCAAGACTTTGTAAAAGAGCATAATAGGACCCCTTTAATGAAACGTAATAACACTAACTTCCCTTAAGTAGAATCAATAAATTATGTACTTTTATTGAGATTTCAGGTTATTTTGATCTTATTTACTAGAAGAATTTGAAATCTTTAAACAATGTACACAAGCAGACCTTCATTAAAACATCTTTGAAAATGTCTATGGTTGTTTGTGGATGACTATCATTTCTTCTCTTTTCACTCTTCAATTTTCAATTTCTTTAAACAATGTACACAAGCAGACCTTCATTAAAACATCTTTGAAAATGTCTATGGTTGTTTGTGGATGACTATATGCATGACATACTAAACCTATGCTCACTTTTTGGCACGCATGATGAGTGTTGCGAAAGAGAGACTCTGGCTGAGTTCATCCTGGTGCAGGGGCTGATGGGCCAGCAGGAGACTGTAGTCCAAAACATTGAGCGTTTGAAGAAAGGCAGTGTCAATCTCCACCTGACGCAGGAACCAAGGGCATTGCTGATCTGTCATATAAACAAGGAGCCATAAGATTGAACGTAGTGTTGTCTAAATATCCTCATTCACCTACAAGGAACTGAGCTTACCTAACTGAATGAACTGTCCTTCAAAATTAAGATCCTTCAAAACAACAATGATCTGGCTGCCTTCAGGGGCTGGGTCCGTCCACCGGCTCATCTCACAGCCCTTTATATCATACCTTAAACATTGAGAGAAAAGGGTGAACATAAAACTAGGGGAAGAGTAATGGAGAAGGAGGTGGGAGAGGTGGATTGGATCATTATTCTTACCATTAGTGCAAGCCAAAAGTAACAGCTAAAAGGCAAAGCAATTTAATGACCAATAATTGCAAGGCTGTGGATTTTATTAAGTCAAGATGACATCTTCTGTGGTGTACTCCCACATAAGTGATGGAGAGATTAGAAACTTTAAATATTTATATGATTGATAACGGACGAATCGATCACACTTCATTTCCATTTATAACATGCAGTGAGTCTTACCTTGCTGTGATTCTGTCATCAGGGTAAAAGACACTTTGCATCACAATAAAGTACTTCTGCACACAGAAAACCAGTAGAGTTTTATAACATGTACCTTAAGGGTTCATAAAATTGATGATGTTAAATGCAATAATTACCATCCTCTGATGTGCAATTTTGATCCTGTGAACACCTGTCCATGAATAAAGCATGACAATTTCTTAAATGGATGCAATAAAGATGAGCATTCAGGGTTTTAAGGCTTCTCATGTAAATCATCAGGAATTACACCTTCAAATTCATAATGTATTCAAATTAGTGGATTAAAAAAAAAATGTCCAGTAACATTTGTTGAAAAAGTCATGCTAATTTCATAGCTTCCTGGTTCTCACCTAAAAATTTGACGAGCAGCGAGTGTGGGTACTTCTCCAGATGTTCCATGTAGATTCTCAAGTTAGACAAGAGGAATCGCACTTCTCTTTTACTCTGTGTCTTTAAGAAGAACTGCTTGTCATTACTAAACAGAGGACAGAGAAATGTGTGTTAAAGGACATTTGTTTTGATATTAAACAAACATATTGATATTACAAAGTTTACTTACAGATACGTATCTGATACAGTATATGCTACAGCATTAAAACGTTTGGTCAGTGAGAATTTTTTGCAAGAAACATCTTATACTCACCAAGACTGCATTTATTTGATCAGAAATCAGTAAAAACAGTTAAATATTTTCACTATTTAAAATAATTGTTTTCTCTCATATTTTACAATGTAATGTGTTCCTGTATGGCAAGATGCATTTTCAGCAGCCATTAGCATTAGTCTTCAATGCCACACGATACTTCAGAAATCATTCTAATGTGTTGAATTTAATCCATCCTTGCAGAATAAAAATATCAAATATATATACACTGTGTATATATATATATATATATATATGGTCAATAAGATTTGTATTGTTTTTTAAAGTCTCTTATTCTTTAAAGTTCTTTAGAGTCGCAAAAATACAGAAAAACAGTAATATTGTAAGATATTATTACAATTGAAAATAACCATTTTCTATTTTAATATAATTTAAAATATAATTTATTCTTGTGATGCAAAACTTTTGCATCATTACTCCAGTAAAAAGCAGCTTTCCAGCAAAGCAAATGAACTCACTTGTGTATAAAACTACAGAAATAAAATGTACAGTAAAATATAAAGTCATGGCATTAAGTCAAATTGCTTGATATATCTGTTTTTTTGTTTTTGTTTTTTAAATCAGATTTATAGCAAACCCTTTAAAAAAAAAATCAGACAATAAAAGTATGTGACTGAAATCATGCTAAAATTATAATGTACATGCAGATATAAAAATCTATCAAAAAGGCTCTTTAAAAGAGCAGTACAGCCCTTCTTATACATGCCATATTGAACTATGTGATTTCTCCCATTTATTTCTCTATGAGTGGTCTGTCTCTTCCTCCTTATGCTGAATCTGGTGCATATGCGCCTGCATGTGAAGCATTTGTGCTGACTCACGTTAGGAAGAAGTCAGCCTTGCTCTTGGAATTGCTGATGAATTGCAGGTAGCTGCCTTCAGAGGAGAGAGACTGCTGATATTCCTTCTCTGTCATCCCCAGGGAGCGCCGCAGACTGGCAAACACCGGCCCAGCATACGTCTCCATCCTGAAGTCCTTCACGCAGTCACAAACACAACACAATTCCATATAAATATCTTTTGCATAATTCAAGCAAAACAAGCACATGCTCAACAATTGCTTAGTAATTCCGTCACATTTTGTGGTATGGTACAGCAAAAAAAAAAAGCTAAAATTATAGTAAGCAGTGTTCGCTCTTTCCTTCAACATACCTTATGGATTTGAGTAACCTCAAGATTGTAGTCATCCTCAGACAACTCATCCTAAAAACACAAAATATATGATCAATAATGAAAAGTATTCATATCGTACAGTTGATTACATGCTTTTGTAGGTAATGTTTGTCGTTTAAGTGTGTGAGATGCAAAAGAGCTTTGACCCCCAGACAACAGGCAGCACATTCATGCGTCATACTGCTGCCTAAGCAGACTGGATTCAATAGAATCAGGGGTCTGCAACATCATCTATGCGTGTGTTTGTTTCCGAACAAGCACATGACCATGAGTGCAACAACCACAATACAAAATAGGTTGAGTAGATAATAATCAAGGGATGTGTTTGCCTCATTCACAAATCTGTGTGGATCACTGAAAATGGCAACAGAAAGCTATATTGAAAAAAGGGAGAAGAGGTCAATGTTTTAAGTCTATCCATGTGTTACACCACAATATTCATGTGAAATCAAGTTTATTATAATCTGAGTACATTTTAATGTGTCTAATTGGTTTTAAAACACTTTATTCATGACTATATTCACAAAATAGCATGAGATCGATTGCCTTACTGGTTTCATAAAATGGTTTACAACATAAAAAGGCATATTTTTTTTTCACAAAACTATCATTTATTTTACTTAAGTTCCCTGATATGTAAATATGTATTTTAGCATGGCTGTAACATCTTATTGACAGCATCCAGGACCAGAACCATGCAATTCGTTGTATGGTTTTACCATACTAAAAATTTAGTCAGGGGTGCCAACTGGTAGTCCTCGTCTTGTCCTGGTTTGCTGGTGGCCCTGTATTTCTTTTAGGCATCAGTGAATGCCACAGTCACTGCGGTTTCAATATTCTATCATCTCAATAAGAAAATTAATTTATAGAAAGCATTGCAATGCTACATAAATAATCTATGAAACATCACACATGTGACAAGCCTACACTCTTAAAAATAAAGGTGCTTCAAAAGATTCTTCAAGCGATGCCATAGAAGAACCATTTTTGGTTCCACAACGAACCATTCTGTCATAGGTTCTTTAAAGAACCATCTCTTTTATACCTTTTTGTAATCTGAAGAACCTTCTTTCACCACAAAGAACCTTTTGAGAAACAGAAAGGTTCTTCAGATGTTAAAGGTTCTTTATGGAACCATTTAGACAAAAAGGTTCTTCTATGGCATCGTGATGCACCTTTATTTTTAAGAGTGTATGTGGGAAAAAATGAGTCATGCACATACAGTACCACGTTCAGAGATGAATAATACTGTCTTGTTCCTCTATAACACACTAAAGCTTAGATATACATTGTGTATCAGGCTTATGCTTATTATTTACCATTTACCCACACTATTTTTCACCACTGATTTCTGCTTTAACGTTTCTCCCCTCTCTTGTGGCGCTACCATGCACTGAGGACTATTGCATTGTTTGAATTCTGTCCCTCCTCCACAATGTATGCAGTACAATGGTGTTTGTTACCGAAATACTTAGTTATTCTTCCACACCCTCTGCTCTGTTGCTCTTGAGCAAATTACCAGGATAAAAACAGCTATAATCAAGCTAAAAACATTGTAATATGGTGCCCCTTCAGCACCACAAACACACAGTCTCCATGGAAAGATCAGACTAAATATGGTCCTCTCTATGGAGCTTGCCCTCATAGTAATTCATGGTAAATGGAACATGCCTGTCTCCTTGGAGGTCTTTGATACCAAAGCTTTAGTCTCTCTCACCTTTTATTTCAATATGCAATTCAACATTGCAAATGTAATGTGAGCTACCCTGTTTATGTTCTTGTGATTCTATTTTGGTTTTGTTTTCATAATTCCAAACCTGTTTGATTGCAATGATCTGTGACTTCTGATAAATTCAGATCAATTTGTTCATATCAGTTTGAGTGGGAGATGTTAGACTAGTTGATATTAGTGATGTCTGGGGGGGAAAACAACTTAAAAAGATTTGCATAATATCTTTTGATAAAACTGATTAAGGAAAAATGTTATGGTGAATAAAAAAAAAAACTAAAATACCTCTAAGTGGGCTTTCTATCTGAATACAAAAAGGGTAGATTTTCTTAGTAAAACTTCATAATAGCTTTGTAAATAGGCATACATTTAAATACTCATATACAGTAACTAATGGACATACTGTAGTAAGAGATGGCATCGGTTATCGGTGCCACACATTTTTTATTTTTAATGGCATATCTGATAACTGTACATCTGTAAATAGCATATCTGTACATTGTAATTATATCTAAGGGTGTATATGTATTACTGTATTGTATTATATTTTTTATTATTGTGTTATATTATATTTTATTGCCTTTATTATGTCTGTGCTTTATCCACTCTGGATGCTCCTGTTACAAAGACAAATTCTTTGTGTGTGAGTATGCGTGTAACATACTTGGCAATAAAGCTCATTCTGATTCTGATATGGATTAAAGAAAATTGTATATGCTTTATATATCTTCTCCACAGACCCCTAGGAGTCCTCAAATGGATCAAATACTCTAGCTCTAACTGCATCTTTGCCATTGTAATCTTTTCTTTAAGATGGAAGAAGTAATATTCAATAGGGACTGGATGATGTATAGGTTCATAAACATGCGTATACTCACAGGTAAAGGGTTGTCAATGGTGTTCTGCACAGCGGCACACAGCCCTTCCTTCATCATACAGGTGAGACTGTAAAACTCATGCTGCTGGTCGATCTCAAACAGACCCAGCAGATTCCATTGCTGCCTCAGTCTTCCCCACCGTCTCCTCTTCACTGTGCGTCTGTGTCGGCTCACACCTGGCCCTGACATCTCCATCTACATCACACAATAGACATGTACTTATATACAGGACTCCTTAGTAAAAAACAACATGCATGTCCACATATTTTTATGTATATATGAGACATTAATATATTTAACTGCACTCTACTCATGTTTTATTGACAAAGGGTTTTGTCATCATCTTGAAACTGGTTAAGGTTTCCCTGGCAACAGGACAAAATCTGTATCTGTTCAAGTGTATTATCAGAGGACTTAAGGTCCTGTTACTCAAGACAGGAAAATAATTATTAATTATTTGTTATTCTTTTTTTCTAGTGAATGCAGCACCATCATGGTGGAACAGAGCACCTGCAGCAGGTCATAGCACAAATCTGACATGCCATCATCTGCAATAAATGCGCTGCTCCTTTAAGACACTAGTGTGTTGTTTGCACATGAGGAAATCATAGTTTCAAACAATATTGACTCATAGTTTAGCCAAAGCCCATTTAGTTTGTCCTCCCAAGTGTCATGTGCCTAAATGGGGTTTTCAGCCCTGTACACTGAGTGCCAGAGAAATATTGAATCAGACATAACTTTATTTGTTTCAGTGAGTGATGGTAATCAGCTGTTTGGTAATCATCCAATTTTACAATATCAGTCTTCAGCTTTTCTCTCTAAATGCAGCCTGGGACTTAAAAAGACCTCTGTCATCAGGTCCTCATAAGAAAGTGCAGAATTAAGAGCAAGTCAAAGTCCAAAATAATGTATACTTTCATTATTCTGAATCAGACAGATAGTTTTTGATTAACATTTAAACAAACCAACGAATATTAAAACAGGAAGAGCCAGTCGAACTGTCAGGGGAACTTCAGTTTACCTTCAGTTCGACAAAAATAACAGAAACAAGGTCTTTCAGTCTAATAATAAGGGATGTGCACGTACCTCAGCGCGATTCATTATGGGTCCTCTAACACATGTCCTCGTCCGTCCGCCGGGTCGTGGATGGGGCCAGTGTGTGGACTGAGCAGCTCGAGCTCTATCAGTCTCTCATCAGAACGAGCGAGCGCGACTGCAGCGGCCCATCCCACACACACGCTTAGTTACCGAAAACACGGACCTGAACGACCAATTGCCAAATATGCGGACACAACCAGCCAAAACTATTAGTTGTTGATAGCAGATTGATATTTTACACGTATTACAACCGTTGACTAAGATTTTTACACATAGTACATTCTCTCTATTCATGTCATTTATATATATAAACATAATACTTATATTATAAATACACTGTAACATTCATTCTCTATTGATATGATATACACTCTTAACAAGTGTGGTTCCATAAAGAACCTTTAACATCCATTGCACGAACATAGTAGGAAAAGGTTTTTTAGATTATTTTCACTGCACTTTACACTCCTTGTGTGGAATCACTGCAGAAACCACCCTTCGAAACGTTTAAGAGTTTATGACAAGTACATGATAGATAGATAGATAGATAAAATAAGAAAGAAACAAAAACAACAATATAAAAAGTTAAGCATATTTCTATTCGTTTTAATGTGGGATTGTTTATGGTATTACAGAAAGTTCTCTTTCTTATTCTTTTTAGATTGTTGTCCTGAATTATTTTGCTGCTAGAAGCAAGCACTCCAGCTTATAAATACATCTATTTACAACATAAATGAACAGTTGAAACTCCTCAACTTAAAGCATAACTAAGCAAAAAGAAAAATCCCATATTCCATTTAGAGGTCTTCCAAATACACAGTATACATATATCTGCCCGATCTCTTAGGTGCCGAAATTGTGTTCTCGTGTATTATTTGCTTTTATCTCTCTGACTATGGAAAGAATTCTCCAAAGCTAAACATGTCGCAGGTAGTGTGGTCTTCAGTCAAGGTTGAGGCCATTGGATGCACAAAGCTCAAACAGACTACTGTGTAGCTACATGTTCAGTACTGCTTTGGCTATTCATGAAATCTATTTTGTTGTTTATTTTAAGAACCTCCTAAACATGTCTAATGACTGGAATCCAGGCGAGCAGCTTTAGAGTTCATCTTCACGTGGCTGTGTACAGGAAGTTGTACATGAGTGAAATCAACACAGTTCGTTCTTGTGACCAGATGAATCACAAAAGCCTGGAGAGTCTTAATCGTCTTTCTTAGGTTTTCGATTCTTCCACGTTACCACCCCTATGAAGGTGCCTGAAAAAAAACAATGAAGGTAAATTTGGTCACTAGAGCAGAACATGTTAAACTTGATATACTACTAACATTTTCATGTTTGCTTACCAACAAAAAGTAAGAGTATTAATGCTGCAACTCCAGGAAGTATGATTGAATATTCTCGTTGAAGAAAATAACTGTGGATCACATGGTCACTGTCCACGAAAGGCTGGAAAAAGGGCAGAACTTTAATATTTTTTCAGTACCATATTAAACAAGGCATGTTATGGGTGTCATATCAATTTGGAAAACTGCAAAACAAATTTCTATGATTTAAATGTTGTTAAAATTTAAGCATTAAACACCACTTACCAATACTATGACCCAAATGGTGTAATACGTAAACAGTAACAGACTAAAACCAACAAGTCCAAAACCAACAGCTTGATCTGCTCCGGTTGCCTGAAAATAAATTGTTTTTATCAAACTACAAATAAGTGCAAATTACATTTAATATGTCTCATTCATTTAAAATAAAATGTAAACATACAATAATAAACATATTTTAAAACAAATAAAATAAATATTTAATTTTGAGGAATTCATATGTTGTCTGAAATAAACAACTGATGTGTTTTTAAGTCAATTTTTTCTTGCAAACATACACACTCGTGGTGTGTTTATGAAGGGTCTTATGTCTCTCCGTGGGAGGTCAAATTATTAATTACATTAGCTATCATGAACAAATAAATACTTTTTAAGAAATACATTTAAATGAATAAATCAGAACTATTTTTTTTATTAGTGAATTATTTATGTCGTCTAATTACGGACTGTACAGTGTGAAATTCTTGTGCAGCGAATTAATCATATAAACTATAGACAGTTAGCAACTAGGAACAACGCGGCGACCTACAAACAAGCGTAATATTAATACATATACAAACAAACGACAAAAAACATAACACTTCCACGTCTATTTCAGATCATCTTACCATTATGAACGTGTCACTCACTTCCGCATGCAACCAAAATGTCCCAATAGACGATTTTGAAATGTACTTCCGACTAACAACGGAAGTCGTGCTAGGAATTGTAGTTTTTTTTATCTCTAAATGTTCCAGCACACGAGGGCGCTCAAAGACAGATTCTGGTTAGAAGCCGCGCTAAATGCACATCTCATATTAAAATATGATCTCTTTTTTTGTAGCAGAAAGCGAGGATAGCCGAGTTACAGCAGTGAAATCATAAAAGAGCACCATCCTCCTGCAGGTCACAGAAGCAGTTTCAAGACTATTTAAAAATATAACTGATGTTAAATTAAACAACTGGTATCATCTGGTTATCTTGTTTAATTTGATATATAGCACCCACAGAATATCTACATATCAAATATACTAAGTTAAAGGAACCAAGTTTAGTAAACTAAGTTAAGAATATCTCAAAGATTAAACAAAATGTTTATAGACCTATTATATTTAGTCTCAGCTTCATTACTACAGCCAATTTAATCCTTTATTATTATTACTACTATGCCCAATTGTCCTGTTTCAAACTGTATATTTATTCAACATTTATATTACTAAAAATAAATATGAAATATTAGCACATATTCCATGTACTGTCAATAAAAAAAAAACATACATCAAAAGTAAATCATTCATCATGGTGAGTTAATAGCTGGATGTTGTTAAATAAATCACACAACAAAGATTATTATTTATTATGATACCCAACATTATCTTTATTTCCCCAAAACAATACATACAGATAATCTCACCTGACAGTTACATTAAAGAAAGAAACATTCACATTTGAGTGTAGAAATGTAATTCTGGTCCATCATTCGAAAGTATCCTCTCCATGCATGAAACTAAACATAAGACGAGAAACCTTTGGAGCAACACCACACTGCTTATGTGTGATCTTAATATATAAATATTTGTCACAATCAGAAAAATACATTCATTTCCATAGTACTTTAGTGGTAAACTCATTTATATACTATATGTTATATATTTTTAAAGAAATCTCCGGAATATATTTTACTTTATGTACGTTGCTGTCATTAATATGGACGTTCTCATGGAAAGCTAAACATTTATATTACTAAAAATAAATATGAAATATTAGCACATATTCCATGTACTGTCAATAAAAAAAAACATACATCAAAAGTAAATCATTCATCATGGTGAGTTAATAGCTGGATGTTGTTAAATAAATCACACAACAAAGATTATTATTTATTATGATACCCAACATTATCTTTATTTCCCCAAAACAATACATACAGATAATCTCACCTGACAGTTACATTAAAGAAAGAAACATTCACATTTGAGTGTAGAAATGTAATTCTGGTCCATCATTCGAAAGTATCCTCTCCATGCATGAAACTAAACATAAGACGAGAAACCTTTGGAGCAACACCACACTGCTTATGTGTGATCTTAATATATAAATATTTGTCACAATCAGAAAAATACATTCATTTCCATAGTACTTTAGTGGTAAACTCATTTATATACTATATGTTATATATTTTTAAAGAAATCTCCGGAATATATTTTACTTTATGTACGTTGCTGTCATTAATATGGACGTTCTCATGGAAAGCTTTCTGTAAGTGCATAGCTTTCATCATTTATGACAGTAAAGGAGACATGAAGAGAAACATTCTGGAGAATGTGCGTGACATTAGTTAGTCTTCAGAATTTAAGTACGGTTGTAGTGAACTTTACATATTTATCATCTGAGGTTTCAGTATCCTGGAGCCTGTGCTGCTCAATACAGTTAATCCTTAGATTGACATATTTAAATCAAACTCATAACTAATCAGTTTTATATACACATTTATAATATATATATATATATAAGCTAAATGTTGGATTTTATTTTGTCCTTTTAATTCTTTTCTTTAAAATGTTAATATAACATGAACAATTTAAATAAATGAACGTGCGTGCATTGATCAAAACGTATTTTTAAAGAGAACAAGAGCTCCAGATTACTGAAATCTACAAAAACTATAAATGACGTCATCCCTTGCTTGCATCTTTTGCATAGAGACCCCAGTCTGCTCCCTGCAACAGCATCTTAAATCAAGTATATATATATATATATATATTCTCTTCTGCATCTGACTAAAAACATTACAAAAGTGTTTGTAAGAGAAAGAGAGAGAAGAGAGAAAGAACAAGAACCACTGATGGACATTATTTCACCACAAATGTTAGACATTAAAGAATTATTTGACATCAAGGTTGAGGGGGAAAAATCCCCCTGAAACAGATTCCAGTGAAACAGCCTGCTGGCTCGAAAATACAAAAACAACAGGATAAAGTTATTGTTCTTAGTTGCGAATCGCTTTTTTGTGTAAGAGTAGAAGAAAGACAAAGACTAAACAACAAGAACAATTAGATATGTTTTTCAGTGTCTTCAGAGGATCCCTTTATACTAGCTAAGCAGAAAGATCCAGAACACTGGGCTTTATCAGGCCACATAACTATCATACTGTATATTTTGCCCTTTAAAAGTTAGTGTTACTTTTAATTCCCAGGTGTACTAATCCTGCAGAGAAGCAGCTGGATCATGCCACAGACTCATTTTTTCGCTTTAAATGGCATGAATAACAAGAAAATTCATGTTAATTTAAAACACTTTCAAAACACAAATACCCTCACCTCTGCAGTGTACTAGAGAACAGTGATTCTGTTTAAACGTGTAATTTTAAGCTACCGGACAGGTGAAATATTTTAGGGCTAATTTCCCTGAAAGAACTCATTAAAATGGGCTTTTACAAAACAACGGGCCCACATTGCACTTTTCTCTCAACTGACAAAAAAAGGGAATATAACCCACAATGTCAAGACTTGAATGTGGTGAATGCTCTCAGATCAACTGAGAAAGATTCATCTCCATGACAAAGATCATGAATAGCTAAATAGATGACAAACAAGCACAGAGAACAGTGATTCTGTTTAAACGTGTAATTTTAAGCTACCGGACAGGTGAAATATTTTAGGGCTAATTTCCCTGAAAGAACTCATTAAAATGGGCTTTTACAAAACAACGGGCCCACATTGCACTTTTCTCTCAACTGACAAAAAAAGGGAATATAATCCACAATGTCAAGACTTGAATGTGGTGAATGCTCTCAGATCAACTGAGAAAGATTCATCTCCATGACAAAGATCATGAATAGCTAAATAGATGACAAACAAGCAGTGCATGACAGAGAAACACTGAAAACTAGGCTTTCCGTTCTCTCCGTTTCACTGTCATGCCTGTTGTACAGTTTCCTATTGCCAAGGACAGACATGTGACTATGAGTCACTGTCTCTGATCTAGCCCTACAAACAATGCAATTATTCAGCTGCATTTTACAACAAGGATTCTCCAAATCTTAATATTTTAGCTGCACAATGTAGGATCTCACTGGGCTATGGCATTTTGATACCGTCAAGACCCTAGTGAGAGATTGCCACAAATGGCTTGGCAGTGCCGTCAGAGCCAAAACTCATAGTCACATGAATATTCAAAGCTGAAATCAGCAGCAAAGTGAAAGATAAGAATACTGACAGACAAAGTTAGAAACACACTGGGAATTTTACTTACTAAAAGAGAAAGAGAATGAAAGAGAAAGAGAAAGAGAGGGGGGCAGTACAGTATATTTATGTATTTCATGTTCACCAGTCCAGCAGGAACATATGTAAGCAAACTATTGCCCACCTCTGAGAAACAAGCACAAGTGCTCATATACTGAAAGTGGTTATATGGGGGAATGGCTTAACTGTTTTCTTTCTCAGACATATTTGTATGGCCAGCCATACATTATTTCATGCATATTATTCCATGTTTATCACAGGCTAATGGGCTGGTTACTGACTAAACTGAATTATTAGAATGTACCCAAGGGCAGGTGGATTTCAGTGGTTTGTACTGTATATAATAGGGGTGTGAAATGAATCATAAAGAAATATAAGACATTAAATCATCCCACCTCAAAACATTAAATAATATCTGAAAAGCTGCTAAAATTTTAATATAACATTGAACTGAATTTTCTTTCGAAAACACTTGGACTGCCCTCATATTTCACAGTGTTAGACTGAAGCTCCCATCTTGCCTCATTTCTTAAGGCATTTCAAGTAGTTTGTATTCTCAGAATCCGCTGTAAAATATTTATGATTAATTCATTCTTAATCATAGAACAATGAACATCCCCACCACTGTTTTTTCAGCAAATGTAATGCATGATTAGGGTGTTACAGTTGTAATAGGCGAGTAATATGTCAGACCCATAAGAGGAGCAAGTTGTGACGTCAGGTGCCCACTCTCACATCCAGTCTCTGTCTTGCTCTCGCCATCATTTCAAAATAAAAATTGGCTGTGTGAGAGAGTGACTGCTGTGGCCTCGGAGATCTAATGGCTCTCAATCACCACCGGTTCAAAAACACCCGCAGACACCCTGCCAAAGAGTAAAAGAACACATGATATTATAACAGTAAAATACAAAATACACTACTGGAAACTCAGGAATGAATTACATTTAAAACATGTTAAAACAGAAAACAGTTCTTTTTAAATAGCAAGAATATTTCATAATATAACTGTATTTACTGCATTTTTTTAATTCAGCCTTGGTGTGCATAAGATGAAAACAGAGTTTTTTTTAATGTTTTCAAATCTTACAGACCCCAAACTTTTGAATGGTAGTACAAGTACACTGTAAAAAATATATAATTTTTAGTAGAAGTCATAAATAAAACAAAGATTATTGGAGTATGTTTTACAGGACAATACTTCAGTTGATCTGCTTCAAATTTTTACATTTAATTCAAGGTTGTAATTGTTTGTGATATTTACTAGCCATTTTTGAGTGAAAATTGTTTCTACACCAATTTCTTTTTTTCAGTGTAATAAACGAATGAATAATTATATTCATACTTCTTACATTTATAACCGGAACACTAAATTAAACGGCATATAAAAGAGAGCACCAGTTTACCTGTTGACAAGCTGGATGCCACTTAATGCTGTGGTACCATCCCTACTGACGAACAGTGTTAAATTGCTGTCTGTGAGAGAAAGAGTGGCAGAATGATCAGCTTCAGAGAAGTGAAGGCTTCACAAGAGGGGAAAACCCTCACATATATGTACCAGTAATCAAAGTGTTGAATTAAAATAAGCTTAAGAGGAACTAATGGTGCTAAATAGTTAATACATCCAAATGTTTTCTCAACACACCTTCATTGTTGCTAAAATCCGCAAAGTTCTGACTCTGCACAATCTTCTCCACAATATCATCTGCATCAATGCGCGTGTCGTCCACCCATGTGGGATGGTTCTCCACAGAGTCCTTCTTTCTCCTGTGTAGATATACAGAATAGATACTTCTTATCTTTCAAATCAACTCAGTCATGTTATACTTCGGGTTTTAAATACATGCCATTTCTTCTTGTGCAGATTAACATAAGACAACAAAGTCATTTAGTATCTTGATGTTGCCAGTGACTCCGCACCTTGAGGGTCTGTTTGGGGGCAGAGCAGGTCGTGGAGGACGTGGGGGTCTCTCTGGTTTTACAAGCTCTTTCTCTGGCTCTACGGGGCTCTCAATAGTCGTAGACGTCCCTCCTGACGTGTTGCTGCTGCTGGTGGAGGTGTTCCGCCGGTGCTGGGACAGATCTGTCAGGCTGGAGGAGTGAGAGTGCTCTGTACTGTAGCCTGCGTGGAGGACAAGCACATCCCACAAGACTAAGGGTGAGTAGCAGCTCTTGTGATTATAATCAGCAGTGTAGTGAAAGAAAAAAATAATTTGTTCAAAGGAATGTAAGAATTACATTTTTTACTTTAACTTTTCAACCCACTACAGTTCAAAGGTTTTTGAAAGAAATTAATATTCAGACAAGGATGCATTAAATTGGTAAAAAGAAAGTGACAGTAAAGACATTCTTAATGCTACAAACGATTTCTATTTCAAATAAACGCTGTTCTTTACACAGAAATAAATTCATTTGAAAAGATTTTAAATAGTAAAAACCGTAATATTAAGAAATATTATTACAATTTAAAATTACAGTTTTCTGTATTTTTGGTGAGAATAACATCTTTCTTTTAAAAACATTTAAAAAATCTCTCACCGACCCTCAAACATCTGAATGGTAGTGTATGCAAATGAAAAAGTACACTCACTTTTCTGAAGTGAAATTTTCTCTCAATAAATGTTTGTGATTTTAGAACACAAAAATCTCTGTATAAATCTTGTCTCCTGTATCATATTGTAAATTGATTAAGATTTTATTCAGTTGTAAATCTAAATGATTACATGTAAATTTTATGTTTTTGAAAATAAAAATACAATTAAGATAGTAGTTTGAAGTTGTTGTTTTTTTATACTGTAATCAGCTATAATCTGTACCTGATGCTCTTTTGATCGTGCCCTGAGTCCCACCTGAGATTTTGCTCTGTTGGCTGGCAAAGCTGGAGTTGCGAGAGTGTCCCGTGTGAAACACTTCATCTGGACTGGACAGGTTCTCCTCCAATCCCTCCTGAAGTCCTCCTAAGAACAAACAACCTCAGGTTAGCACCATTAATTTAGAAAGCCCTAAATATATAACAAAAACAATATACCAAGTCCTTACCAAGTCATCATAAAATACTGTGCATTTTTAATACAATTGTAAATGTGTAAAGCATTTATCTACTTGTTAACATTCTCCAAATTTCATCATTTCAGAGATGGTCTACTGTAGGTGTGCTGGTTATACCAGAGTTGTTCACACAGGGTCTGCTCTTGACTGATCGGCGAGTGCTGCCACCGTGGGGCGGTGCAGAGTGGTCAGCGGTGCCCTCTCCCTTGCGGTCCAGCTGCAGAGAGGGGTCCTGCCCAGCCATGGCAATGGTCTTAGCTGTGCTCACAGGCCTGAGGAGATGGAGAAAGCAAGTTTAGATGTCATCAGCGAGCAATAAGAGCATGTGTTCTCTCAATAATTTATACTTACACATTGACTACAAATGTAAACAAGAGGGGACCTATACTGAGCATGGATCAAGATAACTAAACAACAGTTTCTAAGCACAGTGTACTTTCTTTACACCAAGGCCCCTCATTGTCCACAACCACATTTATTTTCATTTACAGAAATTAGTAGTGTCCATAGATTTAAAAAACTAAAACAATTATAGTTAAAATAAGAACTCCAGACGTTTTAATAGCTGAATCCCACTTATTTTAACAAAGAATTGACATGGCATTTTTCATTCACTCATGATTTAATTTATAAGAATTAACGTTAAGAATTTTTACCTGATAAAATAGTCAAGAACTTGGCATAACTAGAAAAAATATGTTCTTTATAAGGGTTTAGTAATTTACATGACCTTTTCCAGGGATAGAAATCACACATTTAAAATTTACACTCAAAACCCGGTTCTTCAAAGATAAAAATAGCTGTTGATGGGGTGAAAAAAATACATTACTTTTAGTTGTTTTAGCTTATTTCCAATCTTGGTTTGTCTTATTTTAAATCATCTTGAGGCCCCATTTGAAGTTTGCTGAGGGGCCCTAACGGGGTTGAAAACCATAAAAAAAATTTGATGGGGACATCGGATGCAAAATTCACTTTTACATGGTGTTTGCTTATAAATGTCGGACTGTCTGACGGACCGTCCCGTATTAGCATATTTCTCCCCTCAGCCAGTCGTATGCTGTCCGCCACTTTCTCCGCGCTCGAGCAGCTGTAGCAAGAACAATGTCTCGCAAGCAATGCAGGTGTTTTGCAGTTGGATGTAAATTGAAAATAAGATTCTTCATTTTCTCCCGACATGAGAGCCACTGAGGACACAGTGAATTAGTTTTGTTTTTGATGGTAAGGCGCCACCATATACACAAAAAACAGAAGAGAGGGGCGGGGTGAGCAGTAGCTCATTATCATTTAAAGAGACATGCACTGAAATGGGTCGCTGTGAACAGAGCTATTTTTGACAAGGTAAAAAGGGTGTTGTTTTACACGACCATTGAGAAATTTGAACCAAAGTATTTGGCAGACATTTCATGAAGACCCTAAAGAATCATACCAACCTGTGGAAAATGGGCATCTGCTGCCCCCTTTAAGAAATAGAAAATTCAGTAACACACTCACATTTTAAAGCAGGGATCTCCAGAGAGAAGTGTCATACCAATAGTGACCTGGGAAGAAAGATGAAGATATTACAAAATAAAAGGTGAAATGTAAAACCAAATCTGTCTCATAACAAAATGCATTTGGATAGTAAAATCCAAACACATGAAATCTAGATTAAAACGAGTCAAAATTACAAAAATACAGTGGGTACGGAAAGTATTCAGACCCCCTTAAATTTTTCACTTTAAATGTTGTCTTTTTCCCTTCATATTTTTCCTCCTGACAAGTCTACAAGACAGTGAGTCAAGTCAGTCATTACAGGGACTGACTGTGGGTTGATGAGAGGGTTTGACCAGTCACATGTCACCCACACAGTGTAGAAACTCTAGATGACAGCGTTTGTATTGAGGGCAAATATTCTAATAAAAGATGCTAAGATTAATGCACAAAAATAGGTTCCTGGCCTTAATAGATGAAAACAGACAGTGTTTGAGCTTTTGGTTGGACTGACCAAGGCTGTTCAAAACGGACGTGTGTACTGTCAGTCCAAAAATGAGATGAGAGATGGACAGGGCCTACCTCCACATGCACAAGCATTTACACAGAGACACACTCACCTTGAGTATGGAGTTGTCCTGCCGAGTGTTCTTGGTGTCGTAGCCCTCTAGTATACAGCAGCGAACAGTGGAGCCTGAACCAGCAAACTCCGCCAAGTTGAGGTCAGCAAAGCCCAGCTGGAGATGAGAGAGGAGAATAAATAAGACTTTATCATCAGTTCAGCCATACAAAAAACGATAGCTCTAAACTTTTCCAAACAGGTTTTTGAGTAAATTCTCCAGTTTTCCCAGTTATACCATTAGCTTTATGAGCAGGACAGGCCATAAATCCATTTCCTATTTATCTTTATTTTTTAACATCTAGCCTTATTTATTCAAGGTACATTTTATTTAGAGTAAAAAAAGATAAATACAAAAAGAGCAGTTTGTCAAGAACCTTGAAAGCTAGTTTAGGGAAAAGGAAAGCAAAGGGTTAACTCTTAAGGGCTCTCTTATATAACTACAGGCATGTGAAGTTGGCAGAGTCAGTCATGCATGAAATCTCTTCTCTGTTTCTCACTCGATAAAGGTTTCTCCAACACTACCAGCAAGCATTCTTGTTGCTTTTTTCATACATTTGTCTCCCTCTCTCACTCTTCTTTCTCAGCAGTGTGTTCTTGCTCGAAAAATTCTATTAACCTTGGTTAATGATATAACGGTAGCTGATATAATTCTTTCCATTTCCTTTATTGGATGAATACCCCATACATTCAGCACTGATGCACGTGACCAGCTGGCCTTTAAAAATCATTGATGTGTGATATTACAGCAAGGGATAAAGGGACAAATGCACAGACACACACAGAATGATATGTTTTATTATCTCACCTCAGTGAGAGAAAGAAGAACCCACCATAAATATTTTTGAAAAATATTTTTTACTGCCCATGAACAGAATTTTGTATCAATGTTAATACATCTTTGTGTACCCATAAGAATAGAATATCATCATATATTAATCTTAAAAAAACATTAATTAGTTTCCATGGATTAATGCAAGTAATAATTCACATTATATCATATCATAAACCTCTAGAGGAATACAAATGCTTGTATATTTTATTCGTCAGACTATTCTTCTTGCAATTATGTTAGTTTCTAATAAGCTAAATGACCAATAGTTTGCTCATTTTAAATCATTTAGTGCAGTATTTAGTGCACTAAATGAACCCTGGGTGTACAGTTTAGTCTCTGGTCTCTAACCTGCAAACTATACACCTGCTTGAAAAAGGAGACAATAAAAAGCAGGAGAAACCGAAACATTAGGGTATTTTCACATCTTCTCACAGATCTGTGCATGCGTCTGTGGCCTTCCTTATCTATATTTGCTTTTCCACTGCTGCCTTTAGCACAAACCGTTTCCTCTGTCCTTTCTAGAAATGACTCCTGTGACTGTCCTTAAAAGGTTTATGTGGTTTATTCCAGACAACCTTGGTTTTCTGTGCTCTTTTTGAGACTGACAATTAGCATGTGATTTCAGGATTCACAAATAACATAAATTTGATCAATTAAAATAACTCATTTCAGTTCAATGACACGTATTAACTGATAAGATTACTGTCAATGTACTGTAGCATTCAAATATTTGCCACAGCAAAGGCTCCCTTTAATTCATCTTAAAGGTCACATGCACCCCCTCCTCCTTCCTATGTTTCTCGCTTATTCCTGGTTACAGTCCATAGATTTGACCTCTCTCGTTCCCTGCTTCTGCTGCGCCAGCACACAGTTCTGACACGGTTCTCCCGTTCAGGATGTAAGGGATCAGTAAATGAAGAGAAAAGGACACGGATGTACACTCCCAAACAAAACATCCTCCTGTAACTCATTACAAACACAAACATGCTAAACATGTCTTTCTCTGCAGTAATTTGGCCATGATGACCTGAACCAGCAGCATCACAATATGACTATGGCCCCGATCAGAGAGAACATGTTTTTCAGGTATGAAAACGCAAGGCGCACCGCACCTTCTGGTGTGTCTGTCACCGCTAGAATCTTTGGTTTGCTGTTAAGTAAACAGTCATATTAGCAGAAACTTAAGAACAAAATACAGCTCCGGGTAACCCGTGACAGCCACCACAAGTTTCTCCTCCATCATTGCAGTCTCCGGACGTTCCAAGCAACCGTAAACTTCCGTCACCACAACGGAAGGCCCGCCTCTCCATTCATTCGATTGGACAATGGGGAAAAAAAACACGAATGATGTCGGGCGCTTTTCTGCTCAGAGTTGATTTTTTTTTTAAACTTCATGTGCTAAGATCGCTCCTACAAAACCACGAGGCACAGCAGTCGACTAAAACACGAGGCGCCCGGGGCGCATAAACAGTGCGCAAAACGTGTTCTGTCTGATCGGGCCCTATGAGTGTCATACTTCTTCACACTAACTGTAAACATTCCAAGGTTTTTTTTTATTATTTAATTTTTTTAATCTAAATGTATACATCAAAAATATATGCATATATATAATTGACACACACATATATATCCATACTAGTGAAATATTACACATTTCACAATAAAAATGTATTTTATTCCTGTGATGGCAAAGATGAATTTTCAGCAGCCATTACTCTAGTCTTCAGCTTCACATGGTCCTTCATAAATCATTTTTATATGCTGATTTGGTGCTAAAGAGACATTTCTTACTATTACCAATGTTGATGAAGTGTCTGTAAAAAGAAATGTACAATGTTATAAAAATTAAGCAGCACAGCGGTTTTAAACATTGGTAATAATAAGAAATGTTTCTTTAGCACAAAATCAGCATATGAGAGTTCAATGTGATGCTGAAGACTAAAGTAATGACTGCTGAAAATTCAGCTTTGCCATATATATATATATATATATATAAAACACCTTTTTATATGTAATCACACTGAGGGCCTTTACCTGTTTAAGGAATGTCTCACATCCTTTGTTTGTTGATACAAGAGGGATGGCCGGTGTCAGGCTTTCCTGTATTACTGAAAATATGTGTTCAGTTTTTTGTCTATTATCAGTTACTGCTTGAATGTATTGTACAATTAACGCAGGGTGGTACAAGCAATGATAACTATGTGGTTTAGAGATTCTCAAGGTGTGGAAACACATGTCTGACAGGCCCAGACCAGATGACTGAATCCCTAACTCTAACCTCCCACAGCATTACACCCATTTTATTTATGCAGTATTTCCTGCACATGTGGTGCCCTGCGTGTCATGTAGTACAGTATGTATACTTGTGTATAAGCATGTGACTCACAAGAGATTTGTGTTTGTAAACATATAAAGGCCCAAGGGAAAAAAAACTGACCTTTTGTAATTACAGAGTGTGAGAAAAAATGTGTAATAGAGACAGTACGTGAGGAAGAAACAATTACATGGAGAGTGAGAAAAAAGGGATGAGGGATGAGCTCTTACCTTTGAAAAAGCCTTTCCACCTTTAAGTTCCTGCAGGGAAAAAGAGAAAGAGAGAGATTATTTGTTATGCAATGTTTGCTATTGGTGTGGTGACGCTACGAGGCAAAAGGAGTGAAGGGTAAAGAGAGCGAAGGAAACCATGAGACAGCAGATATCCTGTATGGAGTAAACCAAACATGTGAACTCCATACCTCCATAATCTGACTGTTAAGCTGGATAAGGGTGTTTTTTCAACTGTGGGCACTTTTATGTCCCATGGGCATTTTTATTTTTATTTAAACTAACAGATTTCAATTGTAAGAAGGTCATATTAAAATAGTTTGGAAACTATATCTAATGGTTAAAGGGGTCATATGACGCAATTTAATTTTTTCCTTTCTCTTTGGAGTGTTACAAGCTCTTGGTGCATAAAGAAGATCTGTACATTTGCAAAGACTAAAGTCTCAAATCCAAAGATATATTCTTTATAAAAGTTCAGAGTCAGCCACGCCTACCTAAAACGGCTCGTTTGAACACGCCCCCACATATCTACCTCACTATGTGGGAAGATTTGCATAATGCCGCCCAAATGTTCACGCAAAGAAAAAAGGTGTAACTTTTATTCTCGCTGTAGTATTGTTGCCGCTGCCGCCATGTCCTGAAGACGCTGTGTGCTTCGTTGTGAAAGCGAAACTACTTTGTTTGGTCTTCCAAAAGAGGACGATATCCGCTTCGTCATGCTGATCTGTGCTGGTCGCTGAGGGAATACTTCAACTTAGTGCTGTGGATCGCCGGCACATTTTATGGAGGACTGTTTACTGATCCTGGGAGAGTAACGTTAGACTAAAATACTGACTCACGTAAGTACATTTTCTTTTATCATTTGCCACTGATGATTCAAACGCGAGTTTTGGGCAGTGTGGAATAGCATTTGTTGTTTGTCATTTCTCCCATCACAAATGCAGACAGTTTTTATGTTTACGCGGCACGATGCGATGCAATGCAACGCGTAAACAAACAGTATAAGTCATTATAATCAGTAATTATGTCCCCACTGGATGCAACAAATGCCTCGTTTGTAATGGGTTTTAATGTTTTTGTGTCGTCGCTCCGGCCGGGACACGGCATCAACAGTATGTGAGGGGCGTAACATTTCCGTCTCACGCTTGAGGTATTCGGCCAATCACAACGCACTGGATAGCTGGCCAATCAGATCACACCTCGCTTTTTCAGACCGATGAGCTTTGTAAAAATCGACGCGTTTCAAAAAGGCAGGGCATAGAGGAGAAACAATAATGTACAGTATGTGGAAAATAATGTGTTTTTCTTTTACTTTAAACCGCATAAACATTTCATTACACCAAATAATGTTATTTTTAGCAGCATCATATGACCCCTTTAATCTTTATTGCCTTTGTTAAATGTTATTGTTTCACCCTTGTCCTAGACCCAGATCTTTTAATTGTATTTAAAAATCATGTTTTTGATGGTATTCTAAACAAAGCCTGAAGCAAGTGTCAGTGAACACAATACAACCCATGTGGTGTGTAAAAAATAAAAAAAAAATCAAAGGTAGCACAATATTTTTATTGTGTGTCTTAAATTTTTGTGCAAAAAAAGTGTGAAAATGTTATTTAACTGTGTATGTATAATACATAAAATAGCTTTGAAGTTAACTTTAGCAAGACATCGAAGTCTGGCATTTTTTTTACACCAAAAAAAGAAGTAATTTCCTCCACAGTTCACAGGGCCAAAGGTGTCCATAGCTACACACCCTTTAAACATGCTTTGAAAATATTATTTATCACTTCAGATTAAAACAAGCTATTAATATTATTTTCGCAGGGCTGAAAAGAGAGTTCTTTGATATATTATAATGGTTGTGTTGTTGAGATGCGCGTTACAGGATTAAGATGAAATCTATGTGCGTGTGAGTAAGACTAACCTTACGCACAGACACTCGGCAGATGCAGGGGTCCAAGACCCCAGTGGCAGGACTGGCACTCATCTTACACACAAAAGAGAACTTCTTTCGCCAGCGAACACAGTTCTCCTGAACCTCCTGCCTGTGGAGAGAAACAGAGAGAGAATTAGTTATCAGCATTATTATCAATCTTTATGAGGCGGCCAGTGAAACATTACTGAGGAGACCACAGATAAAACAAACAAAACAATGAACTCTATGATGATTAACAAATGGCCAATATCGTCATTTTGGATGATTTTTCAGAAAGTTCACAGGGTTGCAGATCATTGCGAAAGTTTGGCCAGAGATGCTGAACACTTTTGTGCAGTCTATTCACTGGGACTAATCGCTCTTCACCACAACAGTCCCATCTTTGTGAAACAACAGGACTTTGCACAGGAAATGAGAGCATTAAGAAACATACTAGAACACAGCTGAGCTTTCAGTCTCAAATGAAGCTAGACTGTGGCAGCAGAAGACGTAAAAGAGACTGTACAGTATGAAATGCCAAAGGAACCATTCTCATTCTTTCATCTCTGCAGACCTCTTTGATGAAAGTGGGTCAATATGTTCTCCCTTCGCTTTCTGTTATGTTCCTTTTCATCATCCTCCATTCCTGCAGCTCTTTTGCACTGCACCGCTCTCTTACATCCCCAACCACATTCATAAACTCTTGGTGGATGGTAAAAGTTATGTCTATTTGTTAGTTAACTCAAAATATTAATTACAGTTTATACAGTAAGAAAAATTGTGTTAACTTTGAAGTGAAAAAGCTTAAGTTTGAGGCCAGTGATGTGTTCTAGAGTTATTTTTAATAATCCCATGTATTAAATGTACATATCAAAATTTTCATTATTCACTGAAACATAGTTTAACTGAGTAGAATCAATTCATAGCCTGTTGTCAGCCCTTAAATAAAAATATAGGCCTTTATATAATTCACAGACACTAAATTGTCAAAATGCATACATTTACACAGATTATACAACCAAGGTTTTACATTAATCCTTCTATTGCATTCAAATCCATATTGGACCATAAAAATCCATAGTTTGGAAATGTTTTAAGACTATCAAAATAAAAGTATTTAATAAGTCAAAATTGTACATTGTTATTTTGTGTGTGTGTGTGTGTGTGTTCTGGGGCAATTTTGACCAGGGTATCAACTGAGTATTCATTTTAGATAATTCCTTAAAATTTATATTGAATATATTTTATATATTCTGCAAAATTGATAAGATCGGCCTTCTGTAAATTTATCAGGGAGGGTTTTTTTTCAGTGATAGGGCCCTTTTCTTGATTTTCACTTTTGGGCTATACCAGTTACATTTATTTTCTCTTATATGTACTATAATATACTGGATCATGCATAATCATACTACACGTGCAAAAAACAGATATCTAAATATTGTACAATAGTAAATGTTCTTAGGTAGGGCATCTTCCCCACCACCTTTATCAGACATCTCTCCATGGGTCATAATGAAATTCAAAGTAATTTTTATATCCAGACACAGGTGACAATTCTTTAGGAACATTATCCGGCCCCTAATATGGAGACAGCAATCAAAAAACAAGCACTATTGTGTCTGTCTCACTAGATAAAGCTCTTGACTGTGAGGTTTTACCCGCCTGTTTCCACACTGTTATCCTTCATATTGTACGGTGCCTGGAGGCAGATTTGATGGCCTCCTCCTGTCCTTTATTTACCCTGGGCTTGTTGCCAAGGCATCTGTCCCTGATATCCGCCAGCATGCCATGGAAAATGAGTACGGATAAAGGCACATCCATTACCCGAGTGTGACCCTGAACAGACTGACCTTTCCACTAGTACCACACACACACACCAACTGCTGATGGGCTACAGGTCACGTTTGACTGAGCTAGATATGTCTGATCACAAAGATAGACTTAGCATCCCAGACTAAACAGTTAGTTATTTAGTCAGCAAACTGAAAATCATTTCCCTTTCAAAGCAAATTGTGAACCAAAACTACTCAGGTACATATTACACAGTTGAAGCGGAGGAAGACTTCCAAACTTACTCCACATGACACACACAAACACACGTCTGGAGCTACAGCACAAGTCCAACTGGCAGTCCACAAAACCACTGTGGCACAGCATGACTGGACAAACCTATAGGGTTATTCAGGCATCACATTAGGTTGTAGGGAAATGCAGAAGGCCATGGGCTTCCTCGGGAAGTCCTAATGGGTTTTTAAAAAAAGTGGTTTTACATTTATATGTAACAAAGTCTATGGTTATTATTCCCTGAAAAGACTTTGAAGTTTAGTTTTACAACAAATTACACACAGTCATACCTCAAACATGAACTCTGAAACTGCTGTGTACAAACTAAAGTTTCTACTATATACAGTGGGTACGGAAAGTATTCAGACCCCCTTACATTTTTAACTCTTTGTTAAATTGCAGCCATTTGCTAAAATCATTTAAGTAAATTTTTTTTCCTCATTAATGTACACACAGCACCCCATATTGACAGAAAAACACAGAATTGTTGACATTTTTGCAGATTTATTAAAAAAGAAAAACTGAAATATCACATGGTCCTAAGTATTCAGACCCTTTGCTCAGTATTTAGTAGAAGCACCCTTTTGATCTAATACAGCCATGAGTCTTTTTGGGAAAGATGCAACAAGTTTTTCACACCTGGATTTGGGGATCCTCTGCCATTCCTCCTTGCAGATCCTCTCCAGTTCTGTCAGGTTGGATGGTAAACGATGTTGGACAGCCATTTTTAGGTCTCTCCAGAGATGCTCAATTGGGTTTAAGTCAGGGCTCTGGCTGGGCCATTCAAGAACAATCA